TAACTTCTTCATAGTTCAAGGGATTTTGAAAATACTTGGCACAAATAGTAATATTAATAAGACGATATGTCATGCACAACACGTGCACCCCTACCTCCAAGGTCAAGGTCACACTTAGAGGTCAAAGGTTAACATGATAGATTTTTAAATTCCGTGTTTCATTTTACTAGTATTACTTTAATAAATTTATTGTTGCATTTGCAGATCTAGCATTGATCATAATTTTGAACTGAAAGTCCTGATATCCATACCTCAATCTTTTGAAATAACACAATTTTATGCTTCATTTGAAACTTCCCCGAGGCGTGGAACGTTGGTAACTCTGTCACAAATTCTTGTTATTAGTCCCCTACCGGTTTACCGGAGGGGACTTTAGGTTTACCCTCCCTCCGTCTGTCCGTCCGTCCGTCTGTCCGGCTGTCAGCCGTCCGTCCACAAAACTGGATCCCGCGATAACGCAAAAAGTACTGAAAATATTTTAATGAAACTTGATATATGGATAGATGGCAGTATGGAGATTATGCACGTCTTTTTCTTTTCTTCCTATGTTGAAAATTCTGGTTGCTATGGCAACAAATAGACTGAAAATGTGGCAAATTTTACACATAACCTGGATCCTGCGATAACGCAAAAAGTACTGAAAATATGTTTATGAAACTTGATATATGGATAGATGGCAGTATGGAGATTATGCACGTCTTTTTCTTTTCTTCCTATGTTGAAAATTCTGGTTGCTATGGCAACAAAAGACTGAAAATATGGCAAATTTTACACATAACCTGGATCCAGTGATAACACAAAAAGTACTGAAAATATGTTTATGAAACTTGACATACGGGTAGATGGCAGTATTGAAATTATGCACTTCCTTTTTTATCTTCCTATGTTGAAAATTCTGGTTGCTATGGCAACAAATAGACTGAATTTCAAGATTTCTGATTCTAGTTTTTAAGTTTTTTCACTATAAGTTCTTTATTTCTTAAGGTATTTTCTTCAAACTTTAAATATAAGTTGCTTGTCATCAACCACATCATATGTGACAAGGTTTACAACTCTAGCACAAAATTTATCAGAATTACCTCCCTTGAACTTAAAATTTTCATGAAAAAAACATTGTTTTTTTTAATAACTTCTTTTTCTGAATGTATCTACTTCAAAGTTCATATAAATGTTTCTTATTGTCACTCAACATTTGTGAGTGTTCAATACTCTAGCAAGACTACTATTTCCAGAATTATGCCCCTTTTTGAACTTAGACTTTCTTTTGAGAAATTGGTAATTTTTACTCCAACTTCTTCAGTCATGATAGGATTTTAAAAATGTTATATTTTGATAACAGGGATGTTTAAAAAAATAACTTTAGAGTGTCCTTCAGTCCGTCTGTCTGTACATAAAAACTGTTTCCTGTGATCACTTTTAAAGAACTTTTACAACAAATTTACTTAAAATAGGAACCTAAGTGAATGGCCAATGGCCCTTCAGAATGTTGCTTGGGCTCTTACCGGTAGGGGACTTATGGATTGCTTGCAATACTATGATAATTGCTTGTTAGGATTTGCAGGCAGATTAAGGGTTCAAAACCAATTAAGGGCAAGCTGTTGTTTTCTGGATTCATTGCTTTAGGTTATTGGTTGGTTCCAGGAATAGAATTGAAAGTTTGCCTATAATTTTAAAGCTTTGTACACAATGAATCAACCTAAAGATGAATCTTTATAAGCTAATATATCTAATTGACCTAAGATATGTGGATTGTACTTTAGTCAGTGTTCATGTGCTTAAAAGTTTATGACCTCAAATCAAACTTTGCTGGCTTCAAATGCCTTATTCTTCAGCCATATAGGTAGGAATCTAGTTACAGGTAAAACTTGAATGTTTTATCATGTAAGAAAGCTTAGAATAACCTTGTTAGTTTATGACAGTTTGATGGTTCTGTGACACAGGTTTAATTATTACAGTGTGGGGTGGGGGAGGAGGCCATTAAGGATTTTCTTCACCAGATAAAAGTTGAGAGCTTGACTTTTGATCACTGTTTTTAAAAAATATATATAAATCTTAGGACTGATTGGACAAACAGTATGATAGATTCATTGTCTGGAAATTTAAGTTATTTCAGAGAAAAAAAACATCAATAACAAAATATATACATTTTAATTGGTTTTTTACAGTACATAAATGAAATAGAAATGTTAAGTTTTGATTTTGAAAACTTTGATAGATCTAAGGTAATTTGAACTGATATATAGTGAATTGTCAATTTCATTGTATGTCATGCTATCTGTATACACATAACCTGTCTCTATTAGTTCATATCCATGTGTGAGGTCAGGTGATACATAGAAAATGGTGTTGGATAACGTACTACGTTCTTTGCCAGTAATAAATAGATTTCCTTTACTATCCATCATCATTTTACTAGGGTTCCATAGACTGTCATTTCTATATTCTGCCTTCAGGTGTCCTTCAGGTGTATAACTTTTGACTGAGTTTTTCCAAGAATCAGATACATAGATAGTCTTACCATCAGGGCTGACTGTCATATCTGTTTTATAGTTTGAGTTAATATTGAAGCTTGTAACTTCATATCCAATTATGTTTAACTGTTTTATTATGTATTGTTTTGAATCAAAACCATGACACTTAAGAAACAGATTTCCAACACGGTAATGAATGTTATCACAGTAATGGCCTGCAGTGTTTAAGGTATATATTACTGTCCTTCCAATATAAGATTGAGTTTCTGTAATACGCCAAAGTTCTACTCCATTATCAAATGTTGCAGCAACTGTTTTGTCATCTAATTTTATAATTTTCCATATACCCTGCTTATAGAAACTGTATATAATTTTATTTTCAGTTAGATAGTGCACTTGTACATTACTGTTTATAAAATGTTCCTTAATTGAACTGTCCTTGATATCATTCTCATAGAAGCTTAATGTAATAGAGAAGGCAATATGCTCAGAGAAGAAGGATAAGTCTTGTACTTGAATGTTTGTAGGTAAAGATTCCAGATGTTTTTCGGTAATTTTTTCCAATGCAATGGGCTGTAAGGAGAATTTTTCAATTGTTTTATACCTCATTGTCATAATTAGAGAATCAAGAATAATTCCACAGGCAAGAATAAGAAGAACCATAAAACATGAAATCTTGTACGGTTTTACTACCTCCAGCGGTTTCAAAGTCACTTTTCCAAAATTTTCAGGCTTGATTTTTTCCTTAGCCTTCATGTATGAATACCTGTTTAAATTTTCATCAAGTCGGTTTTTCAAATGTTTCAAAGTTTCTGCTATACCCTCTTTTTTATCTGTCACTATTTTGGTTTTTAAATATACCTTACACTTTTGATGAGAATTCTTTAAGGCCCTTACTTCTGTTTTTAAACCTTGAATCTCTGCTTTGAGAAGACCATTTTTGGTGTCTTCCAAATCAAGTGTGTTTTTATTTGCCTTGTAAAGGTTATCAATCTCTTTCTCATAGTCATTAAATATCTTTTCAACCTCCTGCCTTTGTTCTTTTACCACTTTAATCACATTTGTATTCTGCTTTTCAACACTTTCCCTGTGATTATCAATACATTCTTTCATATCATCAGCTTCTTTTTCCAATAGATCAAGACTGTCCTCTAATTTGCTGCATTCTTTTACTGCATCAAATTCAGCTGCTAGTCTTGGTAGATGATGTACATGTTTACATGTTGCATGGAATGTGGTTTTGCATGTCAAACAGACAATGTCTTTACAAGTGATGCAGTAGAATTTGAGCAATTCTTGAGGGTGTTTATTGCATTTCTCCATGTAGAAGTTGACTGGCATACTGCTTTTGTTTTGTTGTATGTGATCAGGTAGAAATTTATTATGATATCCCAAACATGTTGTGCAGAAATATTTCACACAGTTTACACAAAACCCCTCTGCTGTGACATATTTTTGTTCTTTTTCGTGACAATATTCACAAAACATTTCTTCAGTGTAGTCTGATCCACTAGATACACCTATATCCGCCATTTTGTCCTGAAATGAAAAATTTAAGTTACATGAATTTCCAACAAGTTTTATTTAATTGAACTTAAAATAAGATTTGAAGACATTTGTATTTAATTATTTAAGTCCTCTTGAAATGCAATTAACTTTTAAGGTTTATTTTAATATATCTACTTCTTTATACCTGTGTAGAAATAATGTATAAATAATGTCACAATTGATGAGTTAATAGTTATATTTTGTTATTATTAAGTCCATCATAATTGTGTTATATAAGAAGTCCATAAAGAAATACCATCTTCAAATCGGTAGCTTTCTGAATTTGTCAGTAGTTTTTTTCCAAATAGCTCAAATCCAGTTATCAACTTTTCTACACAAAAATATGCTTTATTTATTCACCGTTCCCTGTTAGCAGGATATTGATTTCCTAAACGTTATCAACAACTTAAACAATACATGATACAAAAGATTAACTTACTTGCCTGACAGCTTTCGAAGTTTTGAGATTATTTATATTAAATAGACACACTGTATTTCTCTATATCTTTGAAGTATGATTTATAACTGATTTTCACTGAATCAGTAAGATTTCTCTTAACTTTAAATTACTGAATATAAGTTTAAACTTTTCAAGATCAGGTTTTGTGTTTCAATATTTGAAAAGCTGTTTGCAAAAATATCTGCTCTGAGTTATAATTGGTCCAAAATGTTCATTTGGTTTAATTGAAAAATGGTCAGTTACTCTTCTTATAAAAAGATTAAATAAACTTTGTATAATAATGCAAAAAGGTGTTCACGGAAGTAACAGACTCCACATTAATTTAGTGATATGTGGTGAATTATAATTATGATAACAATAACCAGCCAGAAAGAAAACAAAATGTGTCATGTTGTTAAAAATTAATAAATAAACTACCAAATGTGATCAGCTTCTGTGTCCAAGTGGTTAATGTTGCTGGTTGAATAAGTGAGTTACCAGTCATCTGTATGGGTTTGAATTGTCTGTTTGTGTCTGAAATATTAACCCATTTGCGCCTGTTGTCTACTTTTGTAGACACTAGCAGTTATCAGTACACTAGGACCTAATTATGAGCGCACATTTGTTTATCATTGTTATTCTATACTTGTTGTCATGATAAGCGTTAATTGGACTATTTTGCTAGACAAAATGCAGACCACTACGTTATTTGCAGTGTGTTTTCAACAAGAATGTGATAAAAATTGCCTTGAAAATATTATTGAAAATGGCTAGCAGAAACAGGTATGTAAAACTTTTTATTGTTTTTATTTTATATCATAAAGTATGATTGTTTTATATTGTATAATTATATTTCTGCTCAATTCCTGTTTTATAATTCAGAAATATGTATAAAATGTGTTATGACAGTCAATTTAGATTTTGTCTACAAAAGTAGACAATAGGATCAAATGGGTACGTTTTATCATTATGAAAATATTTTGTTGTTTACAGAAGATACACAGTAAATGAAATCATATCAATGCTTGAGGATGAAGGTAACTTTGAAAGGGCAGATATACATGTTCAACCACCTCCTGTAGATGAACTGACAGATGAAGATAGTGCAAGTGAAGATGAAGAAGTAGGTTACAACAACCTCAGTGGACGTCAGTTAGACCAACAAGCAACAGCGACAGTTATTCGCCTAGATGGACGTCATGTTGTTGATTCAGCATCAGACTCCGATCTAGTTAGTAATAAATAAATAAAATAAATAAATAAAATAAATAAATAATAAATAGATAAATAAATAAATACGAAGCAAGTAATCCAGTTGAGAATAAGATTTTTTATATTTATCATATTTTATTTTTCAGGAAACTGACCATTCTTCAGATTCTTCTGATACAGATGAATACGAAGTGCCTGCAAATATTGCAAAAAGACATCAAGTAAGAATTGCACTACGGGATCCAGCTCCGCGTCCCAAACGACCTGCACCAGTAAAGAGTAAGTGGGAAAATAAAGATCTACCTGAGCAAGATAAAGACAGATTCACTTGGCATGGCTCAAATATAGACAAAAGTCGATGGCCGCAAACACCAGATGGCATCTTCAACTTATTTTTTGATGATGACGTGATCAACATGATTGTTGAACAGAGTATAAGATATGCTGGTTCAAAAGGCAACCGTTCGTTTTCAACTTCACCCCAAGAAATTAGGATCTTCCTAGCAATTCTGCTTATATCAGGCTATAACACTGTGCCAAGACGGAGACAGTTCTGGAGCCGGGATGATGACGTAAGGAATGAGGCAATAGCTCGTACAATGCCGCGAGACAGATTCGACATATTGGTGCGATATGTACATCGTTGCGATAACAACAATCTTGACAGAGAGGACAAGTTTAGCAAAGTAAGACCACTGCTATGTCTGCTGAATGAGCGCTTCTTGTTATACTTCTTGAAAGAGAAAAACCTTTCAATCGACGAAAGCATGATCCCGTACTATGGGCGACACGGAGCGAAACAGTTTATTCGTGGGAAACCAATAAGGTTCGGTTATAAGATGTGGGCTTTAACGACAGCACTTGGATATGTTTTACAATTTGAGCCCTATCAAGGGGCAAAAGGCCACCAAACCCATGATCCTGGCTTCCTTGGAATGGGCGGAGCAGTAGTTATGGACCTGCTTTCAGAGCTGCAGAAAGATGATGCATACCATCTGACTTTTGATAATCTATTTACTTCCCTGAAGCTCGTGGACCGGCTTACAGATATGGGAATATCTTGCACAGGAACCATCCGTGCCAACCGAATAGAAGATTGTCCTGTCAAAATGTAAAAGACATGGGAAAAACGCAACGAGGAAACTATGATAAAAGGTATGACGCACACAAAGGTCTGATAGTGGTGAGGTGGAATGACAACAATATAGTGAATGTGGTGTCAAATTGCCATGGAGTTGAACCATTGCAACAAGCAACACGGTGGTCAAAGCAGGCAAAAGCTAGGGTGTGCCTTCCGCAGCCATACCTTATAAAGCATTACAACCAGACAATGGGAGGTGTGGACAGGATGGATCAAAATGTTGAGAAGTATCGTATCTCTATCAGATCCAAGAAGTGGTGGTGGCCAGTGTTTATGTATTGCATTGACCTTGCGGTGCAGCAAACCTGGCACATTTACCGTGCTACTGATGCAGGATTGAGGCAACCATTAGATCTGTTAGGTGTCAGACGAGCTCTGGTTACTGTGTTGCTTGCTCAGGGGCATACACCTGCTGTCAGCCCTGGCAGACCAAGAGGTAGGATGAGGCCATTGTCAAGAAGAATTCCAGACCATATCCGACTTGATGGTAAAAATCATTACGCAGAGCCAGCAAAAGAAGTGCGCTGTTCATTGTGTGGAAAAAAATGCAGGACACAATGTTCCAAATGTAATGTTGGAGTGCACAGGAAATGCTTTAAAATGTTTCACAGTGTTTAGGTATTCATACGATCAAAGCCAAAAGACATGAACAATAATAATTTATATTCAGAATGAATTTCAGAGTGAACACTTCTGTGCCTAATGTCTACTTTTGTAGGAAAAGTAATAGAAAACATTGCCTGTATAAACTTTAAGGATTTTTTCAAGTAAAAGTTATCAAATAAACCAACAATAGGTTATCTGGACATATATTCTATATGTGTTTTACATATACCCATTTGCGCCTGTTGTCTACTTTTGTAGACAAAATATTAAAACACTAAAATAAAAAATACAGTACTTATATTTGAAAAATAAACAGATATATGTTATAACTATATGGTTACTATATGTTTTATACATTTCTTATATAAAAATAAAATTCCGGCACAAATGGGTTAAGGGAAGGTCACCTTACGTCTTATTCCACCATTAAAGTTGGAAAGTAGAGATGTGCTGGGATCACAGGTGTTCTTCACTACCCCCCCCCCCCATTTGCCCTCTCTTCAACCGTCCAACATTTCTAAAACAATGTAAACAGCAGTATTTTTCATTTGGAATATGTTTTATTGTTTGATATAATATTATACACTTAGCAAATCTTATAAGTGTGCACCTTTTATGTCCTTATAACTTTTTCGTTTGTCAATGTATTTTTACAAAATTTTGTGTTCTGACTATTGGCTGCATTTCCACACATTCCATATGCTCAAGCATGTCAATTTTAATTATGAGGTGCGTTCAACCATGAACGAACGAAATCTACACAATGCACAAAACAAATCTGAGAATGGGTAAAAATAAAATTGCACATGATATTCTCGGATACGACAGAGATCGACATATCAGAAAAACACCACATGGGTAGATTATCTATACAACAGCGTGGCATAGCCCTAAGATTGGTCAACGCTGGTGTACACCAAACAGAGGTTGGTAACATAATTTATTTGTTTAAATAATTATTTTAATTCCTTTGCATTGTAAAAGCCGAAAATCATTTAAATTCAGTTTCTATCAAAGACGAACATAAAATGCATATTTTTATTTAGTAATTACTTGTATGTATCATTTGTAGGTTGCGCCTGGCATGGGTGTACACCAAACTACCTAAGAAGGCTAATCATTAAGTACAGAGCAACTTCTTTGGTAACCTTCCTCACCAACCCCAAAATTATCTACAACGGTATGTAACATCGATGTGACGACGCTGCCGGGCTGTAATACACAGTCAGGGTGGGCACACACAGTATAAGGACATCATTTTGCAACATCGACTTTCGACACGCATTCACATTTTTTAGAAATTAAATCTTAAATTTGTATCTTGAATGAAAAATACTTAATAAAAATGACAACATCTCTCTTTTCTGTATTTGTTGAAAATTTCAGCATGATCGGGCAAATATTGATACACCTATGAAACCATTTATACATGCACACTTATAAGATTTGTTAAGTGTACTTTAAATTCAATTTCATCCATACTGCAGTTTACATTGTTTTTGAAAGGTAGGAGGGTTGAACCTAAACCAAAATTGCAACCTAACATTGCAAGCTTGTTACATTAGCTAATGCTACAAGCATATATGTTGCATGCTGGCAACTGGCTAGTTATTGGAACCTTGCGGACAGCTTGCAGTGAGTTTTCAGAAATTCATGCTTTAGATTTGAATGGCATCACAAGCTTGCCTCTAGTCTGTAATAAACTTACCTTTTTTTTCCTAAGGAAAGCAATTAAGTGCAGTGTGATAAGGTATAATAATAATAAACTATTACATAATAGAATTGATTTATTCATTTCACCTTATTTCTAGATTTGAAAGTCATCTTAACAATCATAATATAAAAAATAACAAAAACTGTATCTACCAAGTTGAGAAAAAAATAAAACAAAATATTATTTATTTAAGTGTTTTTAGTCCAAATAAGTGTCTATATTGTAATATGATAAATCATATCCTTTACTGATGCTGTCTCTCAGAATGGCTTCAATGTGGCACACAACTATGGTTTAATTCCATGTTATTATGCCCCCATTTCGAAGAAAAGGGGGTATATTGCTTTGCACTTGTCGGTCCGTCGGTCTGTCGGTCCGTCGGTCCGTAGACCAAATGGTTTCCGAGTTATAACTAAAGAACCCTTAGGCCTAGGAACTTCAAACTTGGTATGGTGATTGGTCATGACCAGTAGATGACCCCTATTGATTTTGGGGTCAAGGGGTCAAAGGTCAAGGTCACATTGACCTTGTAAGCAAAAACGGTTTCTGATCAATAACTAAAGAACCTTAAAGCCTAGGAACTTCAAACTTGGTATGGTGATTGGTCATGATCAGTAGATGACCCCTATTGATTTTGGGGTGAAGGGGTCAAAGGTCAAGGTCACATTGACCTTGTGAGCAAAAACGGTTTCCGATCAATAACTAAAGTACCTTAAGGCCTAGGAACTTCAAACTTGGTATGGTGATTGGTCATGATCAGTAGATGACCCCTATTGATTTTGGGGTCAAAGGTCAAGGTCACATTGACCTCTTGGGTAAAAACGGTTTCCGAGTGATAACTAAAGAACCCTTAGGCCTAGAAACTTCAAACTTGGTATTGTGATTGGTCATGACCAGTAGATGACCCCTATTGATTTTGGGTCAAGGGGTCAAAGGTCAAGGTCGCATTGACCTTGTAAGCTAAAACGGTGTCCGATCAATAACTAAAGAACCTTAAGGCATAGGAACTTCAAACTTGGTATGGTGATTTGTCATGATCAGTATATGACCCTAATTGATTTTGGGGTCAAGGGGTCAAAGGTCAAGGTCACATTGACCTTGTAAGCAAAAACAGTTTCCTATCAATAACTTAAGAACCTTAAGGCCTAGGAACTTCAAAGTTCGTATGGTGATTGGTCATGATCAGTAGATGACCCCTATTGATTTTGGGGTCAAGGGGTCAAAGGTCAAGGTCACATTGACCTCTTGGGTAAAAATGGTTTCCGATCAATAACAAAAGAACCCTTAGGCCTAGGAACTTGAAACTTGGTATGGTGATTGGTTATGACCAATCAGATGACCCCTATTGATTTTGGGGTTAAGGGGTCAAAGGTCAAGGTCACATTGACCTTGTAGGTAAAAATGCTTTCCATTTAATAACTAAAGAACCCTTAGGCCTAGGAACTTCAAACTTGATATGGTGATTGGTCATGATCAGTAGATGACTCCTATTGATTTTGGGGTCAAGGGGTTAAAGGTCAAGGTCACATTGACCTCTTAGGTAAAAACGGTTTCCGATCAATAATTAAAGAACCCTTAGGCCTAGGAACTTCAAACTTGGTATGGTGATTGGTCATGACCAGCAGATGACCCATATTGATTTTGGGGTTAAGGGGTCAAAGGGCAAGGTCACATTGACCTTGTAGGTAAAAATGCTTTCCATTTAATAACTAAAGAACCCTTAGGCCTAGGAACTTCAAACTTGGTATGGTGATTGGTCATGACCAGCAGATGACCTATTGATTTTGGGGTCAAAAGTCAAGGTCACATTGACCTTGTAGGTAAAAACTGTTTCTGATCAATTAACTAAAAATGCTTAGGCCTAGGAACTTCAAACTTTGTATGATTGGTCATGACCAGCAGATGACCCCTATTGAGTTTTGGGTCAAGGGGTCAAAGGTCAAGGTCATGACCAGTAGATACTTGATAACCCTTATTTATTGTTTGATCACTGGGTCAGAAGTCATGCATAATAACCTTATCACATGACTAATTGGCTGCTGATAGGGGGCATACATGTTTTACAAACATATCTTGTTTTTTTTAATGTCTGTTGTGCACTGTGACTCAACAAATTGTATATAATTAATTATTCATGTTTTATATGCATATGATTGGTATTATTTGCATGTAATTAATAAAGAACAATGTTTGAAAGCACATCAATTAAAATTGTTTGTGCTGCAAAAGTTTTAATTTTGATAAAAATTGCTTTAAATTCATTTCAACAATATAGATCTGTCAGAAGGTAATTTTTACCTAGCAATGTAATTGTTTATTTAAACAATTAACACTTGGAAATTATTCACTTTTCTACTGGTTTTGACTGCTAGCTAGTACATCAGATGATAATGTCTCTTTTTATTATAATACCCCCGCCATATAATGGCCGATGCATATTATGCAGCCTTACCCTGTTCCGTCATTCTGTCATTCCGTCATCATCAGTTTCCGTTCATTATCTTAGTAACGGTTGCACACATTCAACTCAAATTTGACATATAGATATGTCATGAGAAAATACAGGTCAAGTTAGAATTTGGTCATGGTTCGATGATTTTTGGCAGAGTTATGCCCCTTTTAATTTGAAAATAATGGGAAATTTTCAGTTTCCGTTCATTATCTTCCCAACGGTACAACAGATTCAGCTCAAACTTGACATATGGATATGTCATGAGAAAAAACAGGTCAAGTTTGAATTTGGTCATGGTTCAATGATTTTTGGCAGAGTTATGCCCCTTTCACTTTGAAAATAATATAAAAATTTTCAGTTTTTAGCTCGACTATTCGCAGAATAATCGAGCTAATGCAGTCACCCATTTGTCGGCGTCGGCGTCGGCTTCCCTGTGGTTAAGTTTTTGTATGTAAGCTGGTATCTCCATAACTACTGAAGGGAATGGATTGAAACTTCACACACTTGTTCTCTGTGATTATCTAAGATGATTGGCACAAGTCCCATAACTCTGATTTGCTTTTTTTCATAATTATGCCCCTTTTTCGACTTAGAAATTCTTGGTTAAGTTTTTGTATGTAAGCTGGTATCTCCATAACTACTGAAGGGAATGGATTGAAACTTCACACACTTGTTCTCTGTGATTATCTAAGATGATTGGCACAAGTCCCATAACTCTGATTTGCTTTTTTTCATAATTATGCCCCTTTTTCGACTTAGAAATTCTTGGTTAAGTTTTTGTATGTAAGCTGGTATCTCCATAACTACTGAAGGGAATGGATTGAAACTTCACACACTTGTTCTCTGTGATTATCTAAGATGATTGGCACAAGTCCCATAACTCTGATTTGCTTTTTTACATAATTATGCCCCTTTTTCGACTTAGAAATTCTTGGTTAAGTTTTTGCGTGTAAGCTTGTATCTCCATAACTACTGAAGGGAATGGATTGAAACTTCACACACTTGTTCTCTGTGATTATCTAAGATGATTGGCACAAGTCCCATAACTCTGATTTGCTTTTTTACATAATTATGCCCCTTTTTCGACTTAAAAATTCTTGGTTAAGTTTTTGCATGTAAGCTGGTATCTCCATAACTACTGAAGGGAATGGATTGAAACTTCACACACTTGTTCTCTGTGATTATCTTAGATGATTGGCACAAGTCCCATAACTCTGATTTGCTTTTTT